AATTACAGCTGGGTGTAATAGTTTACGGTCACCTTACATTCTGATTTATATTTTAAAGATATATAAATTGAATGGAATAGGATATATATATTGAAAATAAGCATATGTGATGAATTATATACTTATTTGTATTGCGTATGTTGTAGGTGGCTTGCTAAACAAAGGTGCAGCTTGTTTGGTTATTACTTTGGGAAGCAGTGATCTTTTTAGGTAATATTTAATTAGGACAGGCCACAGCCAATATTATTGCATGTAACAAACATTAGAATCCCTGTTCTGAACTGTACATTATTTATGTATTTGTGAGGCACCTCCTGTAGATTTACCCAAATAGAGACAAAAGGCAGCTCTGAAAACCGCTGGGGCTCCCAGTGTGATCCAAATGCAGCCAGCACGAAAGGGTTACAGATGTGCTAAGTCCTTATCATGTAATAATTAGATCGGTCCTTAGGTGTGACACTGATTAGATTTATTTAGGTCGATTGAGAGTTGCAATGTTCAGGCCCAGGAATTGTTAGCTGAATGCCTCCCATTTATTGAATGAATTTAGAGTATGCTGTTGTTTCATCGGATGAAACTGAACTCATTTTTGTACAGCAGGGGCTGGAAGGGTTAATGTGTGCCGGCTAGGAGACCCAACTGTACATGGCTGTGGTGTGAAATTAAAAGAACATTTTTCAACCCCCATGTCATGCATTTTGTTTCTGCTTTCACGGGAAGCTTTTCCTATCTGCCTCGCCTAAACTGACCCATTCTGCTCAATCACCTGTTGTGAACTAATTGGATTCAGTAACTTGGAATAATATTTACTCTGAGCTTCGAGGGGGGAAAATGAGCAAACAGAGGAACTAAATACCCAGCCAGGCTCAGGTCACATCTCCAATCAGGCTTGTGCAGGAGAAGTGACCCTTCAGGCATTATACTGGGCCAGGTTCTGGCGAGTTCTATTCATGTCTTCCAGAATTCAATCCCAACACCAGAAATGTAGCGAACTAATGCTGGAAAAGGGACACAGGCATGCCAGGGTTTTCCAGGAGCACACACAGCTGCTGTGATACCATTAGCTACTAATAGTTATTATAATAGAGCGATTCCATTTTATGGTGCTTGTGTTTCAAAAGTGTCCCATCAAAAGCCATTACTTTTGTCCATACGTACATTTTATTTTATTTCCTGAAGCACAAGCATGGGCCACAATTTCCATCAAGATCTATATTTTAAACTGCCATATGCAATAATATGTATGTGTGTGTCTGGATCTATTAATGTGAAATGTAAAAATAACAATCATATAAATGTAAAGTATTCTATTCTGCATCAACAGTTACAAAAAAATATTACTTGGCAAATGAGCAAATGAGCAGAATTTATATGTACTTGGGAAAAACAAGGAACAAGCTTAGGGATGCTGAGAGGGGAATATAGTATGTTAGTATGGTATGAAATGATATAACATTTATTTATATTATCATAATATATTATC